GACCACCCTATAGCGACCTTGCCAGCTTGGGCCAGTTTCCTCACTGCACCTGCCGGGCCTCGTATCCACACAGATCCAAGGCCGTTTCGGGCAGGCGGATTTCTCGCAGTCGGACGTCCTCCGGCTTGCAGCCGCTCTCCTTCGCCAGGGTGTTCTGGATTTCCTTCTTGGTGGCCGATATGTCTATCATTGACACCTTTGCTTCCGTTCCTTGGTGGCTGATATGTCTACCATTGACACCCTTGCTTCGGCGGCTCGGAAGGGTGTCGCCACGCGGACCTTGTTCGGATCCAGAGCCCGCGTCAGGTGTGCTGCGAGCGCCGCGGCCTTCTTCCTCTCCTGATCCTCGGGGACCTCCAGAATGGACGCCTCCGGTGATGGTCTTTCGCATCCTCGTCGTGCTGATGCCGACCTAAGCCAGGCCGCAGCCAGAATCTCCGCGTAGGATTGGCCCGATTTATCTGTCAGGGTGATCGTTACCGCCGACGTTCGTGGTGTATGTGGGAGGGGCAGCTTGCCTTCCCCTCTTCACGCGTTCTCCGATCCAATCTCTGGGGCTTTCCTGAGGCTCTTCGTCCCCTTTTTTGCGCAAGGAGGGGAAAATGCATTTACGCATACCCAGTGAACCGCGTCACCAGGTTATGTGGGACTCCAGGTGACATCGTCATACCCACTAAAAACCCCTCCTCTTTCCTCTGATTTGTTAGACACAGACAACCCCAGCAGAGCCGATCAGCATTCATCAGGGTTGTCCTCAACCGTGTCGCCGCATATTATCGTCGCGTACTGGTGCCGCCCCTCCTATTCGCGGACTCCGTCGCCTTCTCCATATCCCTTCTATATCTCATTATGCCTTTGCAGAACTCACTGAACTTCCTCCAGTATTCATCCCTGGTGACTGCAGTGTCCACCAAGTTGTCCACACATATCCTGACTCCCAGGAAGTTCTCCAGCTCCGTTCTTCTCTCGATCCACTTAGGGCACGCGAAAAAGACATGCTCGGCGTCATCATTCGGGTATCCACAGTCCCAACACTTCGTGTCGATCTTCTTACCGTTCCTCTTACGGTAACTGTTGAAAATGCCGTGTCCCGTGAGCATTTGCATCGTGAAGTGATCGATGTTTCTTCTATTCCTGGCGAATATGGTCGCATTGCTTATTAATCTTCTGGTCACATTATCTTTATTATACATGCTCCATTCCGCCTGCCACTCCGTTAAGGCCTTTTTCTTTACTTCTTCCAGATCTTCCTTCTTTTCCGCCTGCCTCTCAATCACCTGTTCTCCAACAGCTAAGGTCTTATGGATCTTCTGTCTCTCGTATATCCCCTTCAACATTCGCACTTTGATGTAAATCGGTAAGTTCCCGGTCAATACACAAAGCGCCGCGTGGAATACGGTGCGGTATGCCGTGGATGTGATGCACAGGGCAGTTCGTTGAGCCCTTTTTATGACCTTTTTGTTTTTCCCATACTTCATCGCATCAGCCCACACAGGCGCACCGTATGTTATTATGGATTCCCACACGGCGTTGTTACACTTAAGTTGTAGCGAATGAGAAAAACGACGCAATTCCACAGTGTAACGACCGTTCGCGGAGAGACGCGGTCGCAAGGAAAACGCGTCAGCGAGAGGCGTAAATTCTCGCTACGATTCAGTTAATCGACGCCGCGAAATAGTCGTTCCCCTGTTTCGGTTAAGATAACAGAGGTGGTTAAATGAATATGATACAGTATAGTAAGATATATATCACCGTTTATTCTAAGAACTTGTAAAGAAGACAGTTACGCTGGTGCGTATGTACGAGATGAGTGAGTGACTGATCTACGGGTGTATTCCCGGTCAAAGGATATTGATTGTTCGAAGGATATAAAATCAGAACTGTTCGGAGACGATGCTGTGGCAGAGGAAAGCTAAGGATGGGTGTGTCTAGCGCACGGGGCAATCGGATTTGTTAGTGACGATTTTGGCTAAGAGAGTGAGGGAAATAGGCTTCGTTGTTAATTGGTTAAACGAAGGTTGATGGACTAGGAAGGGTCTAAGCCGCCCTCGGAGGAGGTATAGTTAGTAGGAGGAAAGTTGCATCGTACGTTAGAAAAACTAACTTTCCCTTGTCAAGCCGTAGTAGACAATGGTCTTTAGAAATGCCTCGAAAGCAGACGTTTGTTCGGTTTGAAGGACCTCGACTAGGAAATTCCTGAGATTTATGGAAGGTATTTGAGACTACTGAGGGTACGCAGTGAGTATCCGAAGACATCTGGTTGCCATCTTGCCCGCGGTGTGTGGCCAGGGCTAGGTAGAGTGTTACGCGACGTAACACTGTGGTATAGCCTTCTTGCCAAACCACGCGGGCCCTTAATATTCGGTAGGATTCCTCGTAATGCTCCTATCTTGATGTTCGCTTTACCGCACATCGAGGCAATGTGCTTGTCAAATTTCCTATTCGTGTCAATCATGACGCCAAGATATTCGTGACCTCTACCGTGTTGATAGCCACGCCGTCCACATTCAGGCAGATAATTTCGGGCACCCTCATGCCAGTAATGAGAATTATTTCCGTCTTATCCTTAGCCAGCGTCAAACCCACTCTTGCACACCAATCGCACACTGTTCTCATGACCTCCCTTACTATTCTGCGAATTCCTTCGTTTTTATTCACGGCGCATGCGATTGCCAGGTCATCTGCAAACGCAACCACCTTCAACATTACCCTGCTATCTAGCCTTTCCAATAACCGATCGTAGACTATGTTCCATAGGAAAGGCCACAGCACAGATCTGTAGTATCGTGGACGAAAAGCCTAAGAGATATCGGGCGAACCATGAACAATGTCGCGAGAGCCGAGGCGCCGTCGGGCCCATCAATGTGTCATCGGTCTTTTCAAGTGCATAGTTTCGTAGAAAAGACCTACGTGACCCTGGCCACGAGCGTCTGCAGAACACGTGTGCGGTGGGCTTAGGAGAAGACAACAGAATGCTGCAACGGGGAGTCGAGAAGCAGCGTGCGAGCCGAGAAGCAGCGTGCGAGCGGAGACGCAGAGCTTGCGAGTGGTGTTGCCGCGTTACCGAGAGAGTGTTGATTGCGTTTTGTGAGAGTCGAGTCGTATTCTAATCATTTAGTTGTGCTGCTTTCTGTACGTTTGGCGTGAATAGTTTAGGTTGAACAACAATCGTCTTTTCTGTCCAATTAACATCTGTATCTTCCATTCCTTTGTAAACTTATTATATCACGATACTACAGATCCTTGCGGTACCCCAGCCGCAACCAGGTACTCTACCGTTCCAAACTGGTTGCTGACGATTATCGTCCTGCCTATCAGGTAATTTTTTACCAATCTAATGATCTTGCAATGCAGCTTCCTCCTGGTCTGTTCGTCAAAAATGCTGTTCCAACTAAGGGTGTTGAATGCATTCCTGATGTCCAACGCAATCATCAAGCATACCATCCTATTCTTCTTGCAGGTGTCCGCGAATTTAATCACCTGTGTAATCGCGCCCACCATACTCCTTCTTCTCCTAAACCCATATTGCCCCCTATGAAATAGGTCTACCCCCATACACTCCCAGGAAGTACACTTATTGGGCGGTAAGTATTAGGGAGCATAGGGTCTCTACCCGATTTACTGAGCAATATGACTCTCGCTGTTTTCCAGCATCCTGGGATCCTACCAGAGTTCGTAATACTGATAATCATCTTAGTGATAAGCTCTGTTCGATTGTATACTAGCAGCTTAACAATATCCCCTGGGACCCCATCTATTCCCACCGCCTTCTTTCCATTTATTCTACCAATGATTTTCTTAACATCTTCCTTCTCAAGCTTCGTGTTATAGGTGATATCCTCCCTGTCATGCTCTTCGACCTCCCTTAGCTCCGGTCTGCGTCCTATTCTTTCACCTTGTTAACAGGCATGTCATTAGGAAGCCCTTTCTTGCCACATCTGTTCATAATCATGCGATACGGCTTTCCTCACGGGTCCCTTTCTAGTATCTCAGAGAAAGTATCTCTTTTTAGTCTCAGCTATTTCTTCAGCTGTCTTCTTAGCCCTTTGTAGTTACTAATAAGGGCTTCGATCCCACTGTCCTCCTTCCTCTTTGCTCTAGTTATTTTCCTCAATGCTTTGTGAGCCTGAGATCTCAGTTCTGCGATCGTCTCATTCCACCAGTGATTGCTGTACTTCTTGTTTGTCGTACAGCTCACCTTCTGCAGCATCTTGTCACAAGTTTCCACCATACACTTCTGCAGCAGTTCCGCCTTGTCCGCGTCATCCGTCGTATTAAGATTCTGTACGTTAGTGATCTCGTCAAATTTAGTCAAAAATATGTCGGGTGCAAGACCCTTCGTCATATATTTAAAAAATTTAGTTCGGTCACTTACGGTCCTCGTTTTAAACGTATGAGATATGTATAGGTGGTCCGATGCTGTGAAAGCATTTAACACCTTGCTCCTTACGTGGAGGTCGTTAACCATGTTTGTTGCACTGATTATGTCAGGGCAACTCGTCCTTCCGTTCCGATGAAACGTGTATTTATCGTCCAGCCTTATTAGGGCACACGCCCTAAGCGCACAGGGTTTCCATTAAAATTCTTTCTCGCTTGACCGTGGTTTGACCTCCCCAGCAAGTGGACTTAGCGTTGAAGTCGCCAGCCACAATCACTTTCTTGCTTCTGCTTACACCCTTCCTTATCACCGATGCAAGCTTGTTTATGTGCGTCATGTATTCCTCAATCTTGATATTGGAGGACCAATAACCACTGAAACAGAGGATATCACCTACACCAATACTCACTAGTCCATCCTTCCTGTAGAGAAGCGTTTCATTCGGTGCTCGACCATTGAATTGCGTGACCCAAATCGACGCATCACCTTTAGTATCGTTATGCCAGTAAGGTAGCTGCCTGTACGGCTCGGATATTATTACCACATCCGGTCTGGCCTCGATCGCGCTCTGGCACATTAGATCCTGCGCCATCCTACATCTGTTTAGGTTAATCTGGAGGATTTTCATTTCCTTCCTTGTCTTTCCTGTCGTAACATTCTCCTGTAACTGGGGCACGCCAGGGACCCCGTCACATGGTCAAACCTAACACCCGTCTCCTTGCTACATATCGCGTAGCACGGTAAATTTGGGCACGCTGCTATCGTATGATCCCTTCCTCCGCACTTCCTACAGACCTCCTTTCCCGGGCTCACAGCCTTACACTTGTTTGCAGTATGCCCGAACATGTGACGTTTATAGCACTTTGCCACATTGGGCAATACCCTGACTGTGGCTATTGTTAGGCCCGTCCTAATTATAATATTGTCGCCGCCTTTATCGATGTACGCTTTTGGCAGAACAACGAACGCTGATTGCGTGCCCCACGGCGCCCTTCTCATCGCCTTGACTTTCAGTTCCCCGGTCTCTATGATTTTAAGCTCTTCCTCCAAGGATTCCACGAGCTCCTCCTTAGTTACCAGCGGATCCACTTCCTTTATCTCCACCGACACCTTGTCCTGTAAGGGCGTCGCTCGCACCTTATCGCCAATAATTTCATTTATCATATTGGCAGCGACTTTCACCTCGCAGCCAGCCCTCATTTCTATAAGGATGTCCCCCGCTCTTGTTTTACGAATGCCCGAGCTTTCTTTAAGGACATCCTTCGCCGCCATAAGATCTTTATATGTTTGAAGCCAATCCTTACCCTCTCCTACTCTGATAAGGTTGGCCTCGGGCCTTCTACGGGCTCTCAGCATCTTCGGCCCTCGGTTCTCGGTAGGCGTCAACGGCGGTGGTCCGCGGTCCTCTTTATCATTTCTTCCCTTTTCCTGTATCCTACGTTTCTCCCTCTTGCTCCTTTGGACCATTTACTCGTCCCCGGATTCACAGGATTCAACATACCTGGTGTCCATAGTACCCCCCCTCTTTGATCCGCATACCTCCGCATAAGAGTTATCGCCTCTTCTTATTTTCTTGTTGTACTCCTTGTCTTTGATTTCCAGCGGAGAGACCGTCTTCCTTCCGTTTGTGGATTCTAAGGACAACCCTCTTTTGCCGTCTCTGTTTCCTCTTCCTATCTCCTCCAACAAAGGAGAGGTTTGTGTGGATACCTCTACTTCCTCAGGTCTCTCCACTCTTCCCTTACCTCTCCTTCCTTTCTTGTGTACCGTCGTCATAAGCTTGTCCCAAACTTCATCCGTCTTGCTATTAGCCGCGGACGCAAGCTCATGAATTTTCGGATCCTTCTTGGAGATGAGGTGTAGTCTTCTTACTGCCTTTTTCAGATCATCGTAGGCTCCCTTCATGAGCTCTACCATCTCCTCGAACGCAGGCTTGACCATCACGCACTCCTCCACCATTTGTTCCGGGGTTTTCTCGACCCTCCTTACAACTTTCGACACCGATTTATTTGCGTCTCTCTCAGCCTTTTCAATTTAGATCGACGTGGCGCTACAGCTGCTTTCCGCCATGGACACCTCCCTTTCGGAGACGCTGCCCTCAGTTGTTTCACTCGTTGATTTCGCGGCGATACTGGACCACGTTACCATAGAGGTACTTTCCTCGCCTTCAGCTCTTCTCATTACTACTCAAACTACCTCTTCCTGTTGCCACCGCCGCCACTCACTGGATGCCCAGGTCCTTCCTTTCCATTCCTTCGCTGGAGTCGTCTCTCAACACAAAGAGTTTTATGTTCTTCCTGGGTGATCGAGAACTTCCTCTACTCCCTCCACTCTTCTTCGCGCTGCCACTCGCGACCTCCCCGTCGCTCTCCTTGCAGCTATTTTGGTCCCCGGTCGTATTTACCGAGCGAAAGGAGGCCCTGGGACCGACCTTCCTCCTGTCGTTCGTCCAGTCGTATGACCGTCGGGTCGAGCCTGGAACGCTACTCGAATCACCGACGGGGCCTGGAGGCTCCGAACCCCCCTGCGCCGTAATTGTTTTCCCTTTATTCGACTTATCCATATTGTTTATTTGTGTTCAAGTCCGTGGAAATAGCCGTAGTCATCGACAACCTTGCTCAAAACTATCCAAATATATCCACTCGTAGACCAAAAACTCGCCAAATTGTCAATCAAGCCTCCTATTACCATATTCCAGTTGCATTCTCAAAAGGGAGCCCGGCTCGAGCCGCATAATTCGATAATAATGAACAGATATCAGAACTCTGGTCGACCCAACTTTATTCCTTCATAATATGGGCTTACGCCGAGTCGATACGTTCTCTACCCTCACCGCGAGGTGGCGCCGCCACATGGCGACGTAGCGAACCACAGCTCATGCCCGTCACGCATCGTAGCCACATAACAACTTCTCAATCCCTACATGTTTATCATATTTATCATAACATACCCGGCTTATAACCGTCAAAATAACCGCCATAACCTCAACTTTACCATTACGCATCTTTTAAAAACACTAGCAACCATATACGGTTCAAATGCCCTATTTAATTACTTTAGTACAACTATAACGCCACTACAACTCCCCACTGTCCACCAATAGTCCACTGCCTCGCTTTCAGCATTTGATACCATGTCATTGACCTCCCTGTCGCAACGGTTTCCTGTTATTTATTTTACTTATATCAAACATGTAAAACACGCCCCACAATAACACTATTAGGAGCTCTCGATACACTCTATTTCATTATTATTATACGATCACACACGTCTCATTTTGCACTAAAAATATACGAAAATATATGCCGTTGGCAGGAACGATCCAAAACACGTCCGTCCACCTCCACGTCTTGAGCCGAACTCAGGCTCTGCGCCCCTGTCCCGAGGGTTCTTTTCGCCGGTTGTTTCTTCTCTGCCTCCTTCTTTCTATTTTTTTTTTCTTTTCGACGGTCTGCCATTCCGTGGCAACCGCTTATCCTCCCTTGGTCGCTGGAACGTTTGGGACTCCGGACTCAACCCTTCTTGTGCTCTCGTCCGGGGCGACCTCCTTTTCTTCCCTCCTTTCCATGTTCTGGAGGCGTTCCTCCAGCCGGTGCAGCGAGGGTCTTATCTGCCCTAGCTCCTGTTCGATTGCGGCGCCAGCTCTTTGTTGAGCGCCTCGTTCCCCGCCTCTAGTGTCGTTATGCGTCCTTACGCTATAGCGAGGGCGACGATGGCGGGGTCTATTCTTCTCACCAGCTCTGTCCAGCTCTGCTGTGCCCGCGGCGATAGTCCTCGCCACTTCCTTTAACGTTTCCTCCTGCGTACTCTTGAGGTTGCGAGATATCTCGGCAACCCTGGTCATCTCTGCGGCCCGGCGGATCAGTTCCACTCCTATGTCTGCCGTAGTAGCGGTTCTCATCTCTTCAGTTAGGTCCTCTTCCTCCGTCGTTCCTTCGGTCCGCGGGTTCTCCGCGCCCAGTGTGGGATGGGAGGGCCCCTCTTTTGACGGGGCCGCCCTCGTCATGCTCCTGGTGCTGACGTGTGACGGCTCAGCAACCAGCTCCGCTTCGTCCCCTCCTCTGACGATTTCCCCTACCTCCTTATCTTTCGCCACTGTTGCGTCTTTTTTCGCCACTTCCCCCGCACTTGCTATTCCACTAGTTGCTGCCACTTTCGAATGGCCCGCGCGGCGCGCTTTGACGCACGTACCAATATGGCTGCGTCTGTGTAGTTCCTCGGGTAGCCCGTGTAGCGGCGCTATTGTCGCCCGTCCGAATATGGCTACCCCACCGTCATAACCTCGCACTCAGTTTACCTCCGCCTTTAGCGCCTTTCCACGCCAGATTTCATGGGTTCCTACACCCGCTTTGCTTTCACAGGCGCTAATCCTTCACTCTGGTTACTTTCCTTGCCTGAATTCTCCAGTTTTCCGGAGATTTCGAGCACGCTCACGGCTCCGTCCTCTCTACATCTGCTCCACCACACAGTCACCACGAAACTCAGATTAAGTCATCTGGGTGAGTCGTTTACATTTCATTTCCATTCTGGAGCCGAGTGTTCGCTGATTAAGGAATCCGTAGCCTTGAAATTTTCCGGCAAAAGAATGACTGATATAGTAATAATGCGGGGAATAGGAGACACTTGTATTAAATGTACATCACAAATTTTGTCCATTCTAGGTATTAATGGTTTTACATTGGAGATAACTTTTCATATCCTTGCTGATAGTTATTTAAAATACGATATCATGATTGGTCGCGAAATTTCAAGCCAAGGCTTTGACGTAAATATTACGCGAAATAGCCTCATTATTTGTAAAGCAAAGACAATTAATGTAGTAAAACCGCGGAAGACGAGATCAATATTAACAAGGTCGACATAGATGTAATCGGTAACGATAAAAGTCGATTAATTTCTATTCTCGAAAAATTCAAAGATTTGTTCATTGCGGGTTTTCCACGTACTCGCGTAAGTACGGGCCAGTTAGAAATACGGTTAATTGATCCTAACGTCACCGTACAAAGAAGTCCTTATAGACTTAGCGAGGAAGAGGGAAGAATCATACGTGAGAGAATAAGCGAACTAATTAGAGCAAAAATCATAAGGCCTAGTAAGTTTACCATTCGCGAGCCCTATGTTACTCGTGAAAAAGAAAGACGGCTCAGATAGACTATGTGTAGATTTTCGAGAGTAAATAAAAATACGGCCGCGGATCGGTATCCCCTAACCCTTATTGCGGATCAAATCGCAAGATTGCAAAAAGCGAGATACTTTATTAGCCTAGACATGGCCAGCGGGTTTCACCCAATTCCCATTTATTCTAATTCGATGGAGTATACAGCGTTTGTTACCCCCGACGGACAATATGAGTACATAACGATGCCGTTTCGATTGAAAAATGCACCGTCCGTTTTTCAGAGGGCCATCCTCAGTACCTTAGGCTACCTTGCTTATTCATACGTTGGATGCCGTTCTAATTATTGCCGACTCGATGGGTCAAGCTTTAGAAAGATTGAACACCGTATTAAGTACCCTCATAAAAGCCGGGTTTTCATAGTTTTCACAGTTCATAGGTTTAGCTTCTTATTTTTGAAAATTCGTTCCTAAATTTTCACAGGTAATGAAACCCCTTTGGCGGAAGTTGTCGCTGCCAGATGAAAAGAGAGTTTTGTGTTTCGTCCCGGGACTACCGGTGGACTCGTCAGTAAGGCTA